CGAGCGGATGAAAAAGGGAACGCCTTTCCAGCGATCGTTGTCGATGTGAAGCACTACCACCGAGAATGTGGATGTCGTCGAGTTTTTGGGTACATCCTTGTCATCGGTGTACCCCTTCTGTGCCTCTCCCACGCCCTTAGGGTTACCCACGTACTGACCCAACACCACGTCCGACACCTTTAGGTTAGCCATACTTTGCAAGAGTTTGAGCTATAATTAAAATATTTATTGTACTTTTAATTATCTATTATATTTGTGTATTAAATATGAAACCCATATTTGAATTATGAATAAATTTTATATTAATATATTTCATAAAATAATTTATATTTTCAGGTATACTGTATATGATATTTATAAATTATTTACTCGTTTCATTTTAAGTATTTTCCATATTAATACAATAGTTTGCTGTTAATACTGTATTAATATAAAATTAGCTAGTTATAAAACTGAAAGCCTATACTCTGTTTTACATGACATTTATTGTTACGAACCTTTTGTCCGCGTATATCACTAGCACTTAACGTGTCGGGCCTTTCCATCGCCACGAGAGTCAGCACTTGAAGCAAATGATTTTGGACGACATCCCGGATAATACCGTACTTTTCAAAGTATTTGCCCCTACCCTGAGTGCCAAACGGCTCCTTGAATAGGATCTCCACGTTAGCTATATATTGTCGGTTCCACGTGGGCTCCAACTGGTTGTTCCCGAAACGGATGGGCAGTATATTCTGGACCATCTCTTTGCCGAGATAGTGGTCGATGCGGTAGATCTGGTCCTCAGTCCATCCCTGACTCTTCAGTGCGTCCGACAACTCCTTTGACGACTCGCTGTCTCTGCCGAACGGCTTCTCTATCACCAGTCGAGTCCAACCACTGATTTCATAGACATTCCGTGCGATAAGTGTTTAGTAATTATACATTAATATGTGGCCATTCAATAGGTAAACAAGCAGGGACATAATAATTCTAGTACAGTATAATATTTGTGTTGGGGTGCACCTACTTATAGATGGGGTGCACCTACTTATAGAAAGACCCGTTGTGTTTGACTTACGTCTTGGACAGGAGGGTAGACTTGAGCGCTGCGGCAGTTTCGGCGAATATCTCGGGCGGCAGTGCGAAGTACACGATTCGGTGCCCTTTGGTCTTACCTGTCTCAAACTTGTCCACAATGTCCACTACGGGTGCGTAATCCTTGATGACCCGTGAGTCACCATGGTTATACGTCACTATTTTCCAGAAGTCTTCGTACTGTTGCTTCTCATGCGAGTCCTTCAATGTGTTGACCACATAGGGGTCGACAGTCGACCGAATGTAGGCCACCGTTATGGTCGCGTTGTGGGCGAACCCCGCGATCTGGAAGTTCTTCGGCAACTGACCCGTCTTATAGAGGGTGCTGTCGATGGGAATGGTATTATTTTTGTGTAGAAATTGTATGTATTTGTCTACAATTTATAATTATTTCGTTTGAATGTATGTGTTATTAAATGCAACAGAAATAATTAATAAACTAAAATAAATAATATGAAATGAATGTTATGAGACTCAATGCTTACAAAAGTGTTGGCATTAACTTCTTTTGCGACAAATCTCCCTAAATATTGACAATAATATTAAAATTAATTAATAAAATTATAAAGATTATAAAATTGACGGTAAATACTAACCGTAATCCCGAGTAATACAAAAGAATAGGCTTCCGTATCGTTAAATTGAAATGATCCGAATAGACTTTGCTTGCTAGTTTCATCATGACCAACCCATTTGGATTCAACCAGGGTTTGCACAAATAGCAAACTTATACACAAACTCTTTACCAAGATCATATTTAGCATAGAAGTAAAAATATTTTAAAGTAAGGACTAGTGTTGGGACTAACGATTTGTGCCAATAATTATAGAGTTTATATATAAAATAATTTGTTATAAAATATAGGAAAAAGGAGTGAAAAATCAGTGCTTGTTATCAATTAATAAATTCTGTATTGTACTGAAAGTTACAGTACTTTATGTACTATAAGTATATTTGAACCTTTTATCGCAAAATTGACAGAGATTTAGATATTACACTCGATTTTGGCACACATTTACAGATTGACACTAATTGGGAGCTATTTACAAAGTACATTGTGTACTCTATAAGATTGGAAAGGGGGCTATGAGTCGGTATGAAAGAAAGTGGTAATTGAAAGTGTTTGTGTACTACCAAAGGGGTGGGCATTGGATTTGTCGGTTTGTAAAGAATTTATTGAATACTGTCCTGAATTAGATGAAAACGTATAGAGAATTGAGCTTAGTAATTTTACTTCTATCATCAATTTATGTGGTACTATATTATACAACACTCATTTCTTAATATCAGCTTAGTATCAAGTTATCAAGTACAGTATTTATCTATATTTTAATATTTAAATTCTTTTTATTATAAATTTCAACATAATCAGAAATACAATATATTTAAATGAATGCTTTATTATATATAATGTACTGTATATGTAGTGTAAGTGTAACCCAAATAAAAATACTGTTATACGTTTATTAAACAATTTGAATACATAATTAGAAATAATGAAATCAATAGTAAGGTACAGAAAATGATTACCGATATAACAAAATCAATTGTGTTTTAGATATTTCTTGTATTTGTTTTAATTATTTACTTAAATTGTTGAATATATTAAATAATTGGTAACATTATTTTGAACACATTTTCCAAACTATCGATTCAATGGTTTAACAGTAATGGCAACACATTTCGTAATTCATAGATATGTCTGGCATTGTATTCAAACTTAAATTGCCAGGTTGCGTTTTCTCCTATTTTAATTGACTTCAATTTGGGACTACTTTTCAATGCAAATGCCTTTACATCCGATTCATTGAGTTTCATGTCTGAAGTGCTTTTTATGACCAGTGATTGCAGTTTAGGGAGACTTGAGATGCGGTCCAAACAAAAGACATTTATCTCTGCTTTTGATTCAATGATCTCTAATGACTATCGATTTTGAGAGCAAAAATGTTTTGGGAAGTCAAGTGCTAATCGATAGGCGCTAATAGTTTATTGAAATTAATTATTGAATTAAGTTTTATATTTACGTGACATTAGGTCATAAAAAGGTCAGATTTTTGTATTTGTATTACGAGTCGTTCCGGGAATATGACGCCACTAAGTGGTACGTAAATATCGGCGAACGCCCGGTGCTCAACATAATCAACAAACAGCCGCATCTCATACACAGAATGGACGGACAGTTTGGTGTCAGACCTAATGTCTGTCCAATGCTTTACACCCGATATGACAAGAATTGGCGAAACAGTAGTTATTATTCAATACATTTGCTTATAAGGGGTAATGAGTTGTCAACAATTGATTGGTGTCTAAAGAACAAGAAACCTCCGGTTTATGTATTCAATGAGACAATTGTGTGGACACTGAACACAACATTTGGTGATATGTGTAGAGATTTACTACTATTTGAACAAAATGTTTTAAAATATTAGTTACACTGTTTATCTATAACTTAGTTATACATTAATTAAAAATTATTTATTGATATTTTAACCATTGATTTATTTGAATTTGGTTATAATAATATTATTACGGTACTACTAAAAGTTACTATAACATATTTGGTAAACTCACAATTGTATTTGAAATATTTTGAATCAACAGATGTTTTATTTAAAAAAACAATTTTCTAAATAACTTCTAAATATGCATTTAATAATCCATTAAATCCAATATATATTTGGTTTCAAACACATCATTATTATACAAATGAGTGCTCATCTCATTGTATACTCTAATCTCAAAACGCTTTAAATTTACGCTACTTTTGTCCACAAATTCATCGAAATCCTTGTCTTTGAGTTGTATTTTGTCGTCACATTGGATGACAAAATACATCAAATGTTTGAGTCTTGAGACGCGATCCAAACTCAACCAATTGATGGCACACTTCCTGTCAGTTATGTACAGTGACTGTAGTTTCGGTAGCTTTGCCTCGATTTGTTGAAACAGTTTGTAATGAATTTGCGACAAATTGAGCCTTAAATGGGTTAACTTTGGCCAACCATTCAGTGAATCAAATGCGTGCCAATCGGTGACCACTTCCTCCTCATCATCCAAACCGAGACTCAAATTTAAGCGCTTTATTTGTGGCATAAACTGAATTGCACTCAAAATCTCGACAATTATTTCATTTGAGTTACAGATCAAAATGAGTGAAAACTTTTTTAATTGCTTAGATTTTGAACCGATTATTGCCAGGGATTTGCCAATTGAGTAGTCGATAGCATTTTCGTTGAACTCGAGCTCCAGTTCCTTTAGCTCTGCCAAACCTATCAACTGATTCATCATTTCAATGACAATGACTTGGGTTTCAAAATCAGTCCTAATGTCCACAACTGACAGCACTTTAAGAGTCCTGAGGTTTGCTATAAAAGTGCCAAACATTTCATTCGTGAAGTAGTCTTCAAACGAAAACTCAAATTTCGA